ATATATATAGATCATACATTAATTATACATAACAATACATATATAATACATAAATTATGCATATATTATATTTTCACCGGCTATTTTTAATTTTAGTGGTTCGATGAGCGGCTATTTGTGTTAATTCTTCATTTTGTGTAGTCCAATAGTGGAAGATCAGTGGATATGGGTTCTTGGTTTGGGCCGCTGGTGTTACTTTGTTCTGGAAAACCTAGCACACCCTATGACTTGAGAGTATCAATATATCTACCTAATTAATTAAGTAATTTTTACCTCCTATAGCAAAAGTTAACACCCTATTTATTTTAAATAAATACCATTTAAAAAAATTATATTCTATAGATACCTTTTAAGGTTTATAGCAAAATATTTAATTTTGGTTACCTCCTAGCCCTAAGCCACTAAATACGCTAATTAGTTACACTATTTTCTTTCTCTCTCTACTTTGATACATCTCATTCTCTCCCCCATCCCATTAAAATTTTCGATCTCCTCCTCCTTCCACCGATTTTCTTTGTATCCCTTCCCACTTTCCCCTCCCTTTACACCAGTGTGATGAACCTTCCGCCGCCATTTTTGGCTGGTTTTCTGGTCGTTGAAAAACCTCTTTAAGACCCTCTTTAAAGGATACTGCTTCATCTGGGTCGATGCTTTTATAAAGCTCCTTCCCATTGAAGAAATCTTGAAGTAATTGCTAAACTTTGGGAATCCTAGTTGATCCACCAACGAGAACCACATCATCAACACTGCTCTTATCCATCTTGGCATCCCTCAAACACTTCTCCACTGGCTCCATACACTTCCTGAACAAATCCATGTTCAGCTCCTCAAATCTCGCTCTAGTAATAGTCGAGTAAAAATCAATACCTTCATACAAAGAATCAATCTCAATTGTGGTCTGTGCAGTCGATGACAGAGTCCTCTTTTCCCTCTCACAAGCAATCCTTAACCTCCTCAATGATCCTTCCGCCGCCATTTTTTAATTGTAATTCAATGTATCTCGCTGTATTCCATGTATTTTATTGTATTCTCTGTCTTTTTTTCATTGTATTTCAATGTATCCCGTTGTATTCTATGTATTTCATCGTATTCACTGTCTCGCTATATGCCATGAATGTATTCATAAGTTTTTTTAATTAATATAATTTATGTATTCAGATGTATTATATAATTTCTCTGAAGATTGCTTTTTTTGGGTATTTTTTGGTTGAGAATCTTTTTTATAACTGAAAATACAAATTTTATGTGTTATAATTGAGTTTGTTGAGTTATATTAGGAGTCTATTATGTTAATTGATTCACTTTCCATTTTAAAAAAGTGTAATCCCCTATTTCACGCCGTGAATATAATCGAATACAGTCGAATACAATAATCTGTCCAGCTGTAATCCCATGTTCACTCCATGAATACAGTCGAATACACTCGAATACAACTGTCCTAAGAACAGGTGAAGTTTTGAAGAATGACAAATGAACTCAGTCATGGACCAGGTCCATCTTGTGAAGCACTGTTATGATCAACCTACACATGTGAGATGCACGTGAAGGAGATAATTTCTACTGATCAAGCAGCAATATCTCCTGATTTGATCGAAAAGGTTGCATATCAGATAAGGGGAAAAAGTCTCCTTATATGAAGAGAACACAATCCGGATAAAGAGAGTGTTAGAGTTTGATATCTT